GGGGGGGTGCAGCTGTAGTCCAGAAAAGGCAGAGAGAGAGAGCCAGGGCAGATAGTCTGTGTGTGGAGCAAATCAGGAGTGTGTGGCTGAGTCCAGAGTTGTCACGTAGCCCTCACTTGCACCCATCTTGGCTTGTCTGGAAGATCTCAGGAGAACAAGTTGCAGATCCTAGAATGGGGCAGAGGAGGGCTGGCCCGTCTTCAGCCTTTCTAGCAAAACTGCTGCCTCTGAAATCAGCCCCATCTCAACTCAAGCCCTGAAAGATGGATGTGGCATGCCCCAGCCCCAGCTTAGGGTGGAATGAGCCTGGGAAGGGCCCGTGATCTTTGCCTTATCTGCAGTGCCTGGCCCCTCTTGGTTCAAGGCTGTAGTGCTAGGCAGCCACTCTCCCTCCCGAAGCTAATGCCCACATGTGATAGTAGGAGTTTTATGGGTGTCTTCTTTTATAGAATCACCTCTTTTTCCCAGGGTCTCTGGCTCTTTCTTTTGGACAGTGTTTTCTTGAAGTCAACAGATTTTATCTCCCACAACCCCAGTCATGCCTGATACCAGAGTGGGTTTCCCTGGCAATTCTTCCCGATTTGAATATAGACTTCTTTTCTTTACAAGAGTGTTCTTCATTTCCCCGAAGGATAGGGAAGCCTAGATCCAAAAGTGGCTGAGCTAGTGCAGGAGGAGATTCTTGACGGAAAGTGAAATTAGCCAATTCAGTTTCCGAAGTGAGGCATAAATGGGGAGCACATTGTGAGGAACAGGTGGTATTTTCAAAAATGGTTTCAGGTTCACTCCCACGAAGGTGTGGGTGATTCAGTTCAGAATGGTGCTGCCTCTCAGGCAATTCAAGTATCTGATGCAAGACTCAGGATGGCAGAGGATATTGGCTCAAGGGGCTTTTCAGGTCTGCTTAATGTCCTGACATGTGGCTTTGAGACTCTGTCTTTGGGACATGTTGGTTTATTAGTGTTTGGTGCACTGTGTGACCCCAGGCACTGGCTGGTTAGCATCAGATGTAGGAAGTAGTGGTTGGAATGGCAGGACCCCACCTCCCGATTTATATATAGCTTTGTATAGATCAGACAGGCAGGTCATATGTGAGCCCTAGTCCAGACAGGGATTTTGGGTGCAGCTAACACATCTTCCACCCTCCATCTCAGCATTTGTTTCTCCGCATGACACAGTTGGAGGGTGCCAGTCACAGCGCACGTGCTTTATTAGCAACGCTGTGTTCAAACACCCACCTGTCTTACGGTAATGGTTAATCGCAATTGATAGATGATGGTTTGTTGGGGCTGTAGAGGTCTGAAATTCTTACGTCTTCTAGGTTTGATTTTTCTCCTAGACAGTAGTCTGTGCAGTGTCTTAGCAGGGATTAAGAAAGACTCTGCGCTAGCAAAAAGGCTGTGATGGATGTTCTGGGAATACAACACCAGGCCTTGCTGCCCAGGTGTGGTAATAGAGGAAGCATGCACAGCCTGGGTTACTGCAGGGAGCAGGCTTTTCAGAGGCCTAGATAGCCTTTTCCTGTCAATTTTCTGCACTTCAATCAGTGTGTGTAGTGCTGGCTGTAGGCATTGTGCTGCCCTAAGCAAACTAGCGGATGGAGCCTCCTCCCCCACCAGCCTCTGTGCACTTATACAGACACCAGACACCTCTGCTTCTTCCCTGCCTGCCAGAGACATCCTGGGGTTCTGGCACTGAGAAGGGCAAATAGACAACTAAGGAAGTGTAGGCCCCCGTAGACCTGTATGAGAGCAGCCTCAAACAGATGTGTCAAACCCATGAGGCCCTGAGGGCCAAATGAATGGAGTGGGGCTGGGTCATGGGCCAGATCAGGCCCACAGATGATCCAGCACGCAGGGCTCGTCTGGCACTGGCCTTGAGCTCCATACACAGCATGTGCCCCCTCAAAGCCCCATGCACTGTATGCAGTGCACACCTTGCCAGACCCTGTGTGTTGTGCCCTGTGCTTCCACCCTAGTCCTACGCACTGCATGCAGCATGTGGAGCCCATCCAGCATGCATCACATACACCATGTGGGGACTGTCCAAGACCTACAGGCAGCACCATGGGCTAGATGACAAGACCCAATGGTCTGGATCTGGCCTACGGTCTGGCTCTTTGACATCCCTGGTTGACAGCTAAGCTAAGTCAGTTGTCCTGACATCAGTGTACCTACACTATGCCAGCATAGATTTAATAGATTTCATAGACATTAGGGCTGGAAGGGACCTTGTATGATCATCGGGCCCAGCCCCCTGCCTAAGGGGCAGGAAGTCAGCTAGGGTCAAATGATCCTAGCAAGTTAAGCATCCAAATGTTTCTTAAAAGTGTCCAGAGTAGGTGCTTTCACTGCCTGGGGGAGGGGGGAGGAGAGGGAGTCTGTTCCAGGCCTTGGGGGCTTGGACAGTAGAAAAGTTTTTCCTTTATGTCCAGCCTAAAACGGTCTTGCAGGAGTTTGTGACCATTGGACCTTGTCATTCCTTGGGGTGCTCTGGTGAACAGGCGTTCCCCCAGATCCTGATACACAGCCCTTATATATTTATAGGCAGCCACCAAGTCATCCCTGAGCCTGCGCTTTTCCAAGCTGAAGAGTCCCATAGCTTGCAGCCTCTCTTCATAAGACCTGTTCTCTTGCCCTCTGATTATGCGCGTGGCTCTCCTCTGGACTCTTTCAAGCTTCTCCATGTCCTTCCTAAATTGTGGAGTCCAGAATTGGATGCAGTACTCCAACTGGCCTCACCAAGGCTGAGTACAGCAAGAGGATGACATCCTGGGTCTCGCGCAAGATGCACCAGTAGATGCAAGCCAGTTTTGTTCGCTTTGCCAGCTGTGCTATTGCATTGGTGTCTCATGTTCATCTCGTGGTCAGTCACGACCCCCAAGTCTCTTCCGGTCATGGTGCTAATGAGTGTAGCACTGCCAAGCCTGTAAGTGCGATGCAGGGTTTTTTCCCCAAGGTGGAGCACCTTGCATTTCTGTGTATCGAATGCCTTATGGTTTTCTCTGCCCACCTTAAAGCCTATCAAAGGTCGGCCTGGATCACCAGCCTATCCTCAAATATAAATCAGGTAAAGATCTAGCTCTAGGTACTGAATCAGTTCATGGAATGCGATGCTAACCTAAGCATTGCAGAGCATTATGGGTGACAGACATGCTAACAGGAAACGAGCGACAGCACCAGTCCTTAAAGTGTCTTTCTCTCTTTCTCTCACTAAATGTGTTTCCAAATAGAAGGACCTGGATAAATCAAACTACAGCCGGACTTATAAAGGTTCAGCAATAATATGTATAAATCGATCTTCTGCAACAGAACATAGATTGTATAAAGAGCCTTTCCTCTTTTGAGGGCATGCTTTAGCATCTGTTTGTACAAGCAAGGCACCATGCAGCATGTTAAAAACTGATCCTGAATACTGCCACATTGTCCCCTGGGTTCTGGGGATTCTTCAGACCCTGGTTTAAAACAACAAATACTAAAGGGCTTCGTTTAATTCAATGCAAAAACCCCCCATCCTGCATTTAGTGCAGCACTCCCTTTTTGTGGTTCATTTTACTATTAAGCCCAATGTAGCTTATGCTGCTCCAGATGTTCATTTTGCTGCAGGTGTTGGGATGAGTGATGCATAACTACAGGGTAGAAGTTGGAGTTTGGGTCATCAGTTGGGGGATGATGAGATAAGCCCTACCCTGGGTTTGTCTTCTAAAGTTATTGACAGTGAAATTGTTCATCTGATATCTGGCTAGACCTTGAGGTTTGGGATGTAACATGCCACTGAGATGGGGGTGTAACAATAGCCCCACCAAGCTATTGTTTGAGACTTTCTGCAGACTCAGGAAGTCAGTACCATCCTGGTAACATGGGTTTCAGTGTTAACTGCTCAGTACATTTCTAGCCTTCTTGGCATTTTTTTAAAGGGTCAGATTCTGCAGATGGATTCCACAGCAAAATGGCATGAGATCACCAAGCACCAGGACCTCTGGCTATAGAGAGCAGATGGTTCCCCCATTACTGAAATCAGCCACCTCTGGTATAAAACAGAACAATGCATCACGCTGCTCTACCCAGCACTGGAAGGCAAGAGAAGAGCAGTGTCGTCCAGCTGAAACTGAGAGGAGCTTAGAGAACAAAATGCAGTGATCCAGTGAAGGGCAACAAAAATGGTTAGAGGGCTGGGGAACAGGACATACGAGGCAAGGCTGAGGGAACTGGGCTTGTTTAATCTGAAGAAGAGAAGACTGAGAGGGGATTTAATAACAGCCTTCAAGGGGGGATCCAAAGAGGATAGAGCTAAACTGTTCTCAGTGGTGGCAGATGACAGAACAAGGAGCAATGGGCTCAAGTTGCAGCAAGTGAAGTTTAGGTTAGATATTACGAAAAGCTCTCACCAGGAGGGTAGTAAAGCACTAGACCAGGCTACCCAGAGAGGTGGTGGGATCTCCATCGTTGAAGGTTTTAAAGACCCAGGTAGACAAAGCTTTGGTTGGGATGAGATAGATGGGGCTGGTCCTGCTTTGAGCAGGGGGTTGGACTAGATGACTTGCTGACGTCGCTTCAACCCTCATTTTCTATGAGTCTATGATTTATATTTTATATAAAGTTATATTTTAGCTGCTGCACTCAAGAAAAGCACTGCAGGGCTGTTACTGCTCAGGGCCTCCGACGGAGGGAGCCCTCACTTCTGCTTTTTTCCCTCCCTCCATGCAATTCTTTTTTTTTTTAGACTTTTCCTCCCCACCCCACCCAACACCCAGGCCCCAATCTCAGCAGGGCAGGGAAGGGGATCTCACTTCCCTTTGCAATGCACATATCACTGCACGGATAAAAGCCCATTGAAGCATCTCTCTCACTAAGCTGCTTCCTAGTAGCTGACTCCTCAGTCACTGCCTGCCAATGGAGGTTGCTCTGCCCGATGCGTCTTCTTTAGGCTTTGCTCCTTTTGAGGCCTCTGTCTTGTGCCTTTCCAGCTCTCTGCTTCTTGCTGGGATTTCTTCCTCCTTTGACCTTGACCTTCTCTGGACGGGCCCGTTTGGTTTTCTGTGTTCCCCAGCCTGGGCAGGTCTTGAAGGCGGCAGAAAATTTCACCTTCTGCCCACGGACTTCGGCTGGGGACCCGCAGGTGGCTCCCACACGCAAATTGAGTTTGCTAATCCACCTGAGAATGGGATTGGGGGGGAGCAGAGGTGGAAAAGGGAACAGGGAAAACAAAATCCTCAGTGCATGCTGCATTCACAACCCTGGGGACCCCTGCCACCTATCCCTGGGATGAGGACAACTCATGTCACTGGGTACATTACAGCATCCTCAAAAGTCAACTCTTTAGTGTAGCGCAGGGGTATCAAACATATGGCCCCCAGGTTGGATTCAGCCTGTAAAGCCATTCCATAGGGCCCTCCAGGCTATTGCTGGGCCAGGGTATTTGATGGTGTGGCTAGTAGAGGGCAGGGCCCGCCACAGAACCCAGGATCCCCTTGGACTTGGGTACTGACAGTAGGCAGGCAAGCAAGGGCTGTGCTGACAGAGCCCCACTCGCTCTACGGCTGCTTGGTCTGCCAACACCTCCTGCCCTATGGAGCTGGCCTGTGAGGAGCCTCATGTTCCAGATCCTGCCCAGGGCACAGGGTGTTTGACACCTCTGGGAGAGACAGTAGGAAGCAGTAGATGACAACTTTACAACTTAATGCAGGTGCATTGTGCATTTAGGGGCATGGTGGCAGCATGGTTAAGGCATCTCATACTGGGCTGCATTCGTAAGAGCAGAGCATTGCCAGCAGATCGAGGGAAGCGATTCTTCCTCTAATCAGCACTGGTGAGGCCACATCTGGAGTACTGTGTTCAGTTTTGGGCCCCCACTACAGAAAGGATGTGGGCAAATTGGAGAGAGTCCAGCAGAGGGCAGTGAAAATGGTTCGGGGGCTGGGGCACATGATTTATGAGGACAGGCTGAGGGAACTGGGCTTATTTAGTGTGGAGAAGAGAAGATTGAGCAGGGATTTAACAGCAGCCTTCAGCTACCTGAAGGGGAGTTGGAAAGAGGATGGAGCTGGACTGTTCTCAGTGGTGGCAGATGACAGAAAAAGGAGCGACGGTCTCAAGTTACAGCAAGGGAGGTTTAGGTTAGAAAACAGGAAGAACTTTCTCACTAGGAAGGTAGTAAAGCACTGGAATCTGCATCCTTGGAGGTTTTTAAGACCTGGCTAGACAAAGCCTTGTTTGGGATGAGATAGCTGGGGCTGGGGCTGGTCCTGCTTTGAGCTGGGAGTTAGATTAGATGTCCTCCTGACATCTTTTCCAACTCTCATTTTCTATGGTTTTATGATCTCCATATGGATGGCTTCAGAGGCAGAAGTCTGAGCCTCAGCCTGGATTCATGCCAAATCCACCCCCAGTCGGCCCAGCTGTGAATGGGTCCCTGGACATGCTGGCTGGGGAGTCAAAGGCTTCTGGACATGGTACTAGATGTATCATTCTCATGTTGTGCCAGTCCTGCAGCCATTTTTTTGGGGTGTGTTTTTGACACTTCCCTTAGAAGCATTGAGCCATTGGGAATGGGGAAGAGCTAGGCAGTCGGACAAAAGAGGGTGTTTTCTGATCTGTCCGGTTGTTTTGCCAACATGCTTCCACTCACCTATGCAGCAGGAAGAGCTGACAGTCACAGGAGAAAGGTATGTTCCTCAGGTTGATGACCTCTAGCCCTGTGAAGCTGCGCAAATCAGGCACAGTGTACATCTTGTTGTTCTCCAGGTAAAGACTCTTCATCTTGGAACCGATGCCGGCAAAGGCACCAGAGGAAATCTGCAAATGAAGAGGTGGGGCTGATGAGCTAATAGGAAAGAGCAGTGGATAATTCAGACAGGTTAGGGCAGTGATTGGCAACCAAGGTGCTAGGGCTGTGAGATCCTTTGAAAGATGCCATGGGAAGTGTGAGGAGGTAAGCAGATCAAAGCAGGCTCTGGCTCTCCCTGCCTAGCCATTCCCAGCTCCCACTATCTGCCCCCTCTGCAAGGAGGTAAGCACCGTAACTAATATATTTGTTTTTTTAATGAGGTGCCGCTCAAGTCAAAACTGTTTATGGAGGGTGCCCCAAGTCTGATGAGTGGGTGCCTTGAGTCTGCAGAAGTTGAGAACCACTGGGTTACAGAATGAAATATCAGCATACATGTTCTTATTTTGGGTCGTTTAAACACCTCCCTGCTGTTTCCAGGTTTCCACAACCATGAGTGGGACTAATGACAGTATCAGTGAAGAGCTGCCCTTGTCTCAGTACTACTCAGCAGGAAATTCAGTGTGGCGATATAATTTGAAATGCAGGAAGTGCAGCAGCTCATTGCATCTCTGCATAAAAAAGCAAAGATTTTTTTAGAGCTGTGAAAGAAGGAGGGTTCTCTCTCCCACTTTCAAGAGCACTACTTGTGTGTGTAAGTGATTTCCTGGGCCCAGGCTGCATGTGTGGTTTCCACCTGAAGGATCGTTTGGGTTGGATTCCTCATTTTAGATTAATTTCTGTGTCAGAGAATGTCAGTCTCTGGGTTTTGAGGGGGAGATGGGGGGGTACCTACTATAATTTCCCATCTCTGCTTGTCTGATTAGGAAGACTGGCCCAATTCCTCCAACCCAGATCCTTCCCCAAGTTTCAGGAGCCCCTCAGTGACCATTTGTGACACTTCTGCTGATGGGCTTTGAAAGACAATGCAGAGGATTCAGGGGGAGGCGGGGTGGACTTAGCTGCAAGTAGCTGAACATGGGATTCATGTGAAGAAAAAACAACAAGACCTCTTAATTTATGTACCCAACTTGGGTCATATTTTGGTGATCCTAGGGTCCAGATAAACCTCCTTGGAAGAGAAGGAATCATGGAGACATAGTAAAACAGAGCTCAAAACGGACATCTAGTCCAATCCCCCTGCTCAAGGCAAGATCATCCCTGTCTAAACCACCTTGTCCCACCGTCTGGCTAACCTCCAGGCAGCATCCTCTCGGGGAAGCTATCCCTTTCCTCTCTGCTGCTGAGAGAAGCTCTAGGCTCCAGCACCAGGTCTTGTTCGAAGAGTAAAAGTGACCAGCCTCACTCCAGGGTTGTGTATTAGCACAGCGATCTCCCCAGACCCAAACTTGGATCTATTTTTTCCCAGGTCTGAGCAATACTGGGGAAGGAGAAAGTTAGGCTTTTTGAGTAGCCTTACTGAGTCAAGATGCCTGACAGAAATACTGTGGCAATCTGCGGTGTTTTGAGGGGAAGGAGAAAATCGGCTTAAAAGCAGAGGGAAAGCCATTTGAATAAGTCCTGATGTTAAGAAAAAAATAGTGACAAATCAGAGGGAATACAAACATCAGCTATTAGGGCCCTCAAGAGACGGGTTTAGAGCACAATCAACAGGAGTTATCAAATGTCTGCTACCCCACCCAGGTTGGTGCCTTTCATTTTGATGGGCTTTGGACCAAGGCTTTTAATGAGAGAAAATTAAAGAAATGAAGTAGACAATGAGTAGCAGAGGATGGGATATCCGTGAAAGGTGTAAGGAGGGATGAGAGCTGCTGAGGAGAGTCGTTTAAGATCATGTTAACAGGAGAAATGGGATGAAGCTGAAATTTAGGCTAATGAGTAGGATCTGTTTCCTCCCAATGAGGTCTCCTAGGCTGTGGGATGGTTTCTCCTCAGGGTAGTGCTAGAATTTGGATTATTGGGGCCATTCACTTGGGTGGAAACCCCTTCTGGAGAAAATGCTAGCATGTGCTGCAGAGAACAGCTCTATCAAGGGGAGGGGAGGGACACCAATAGTGACATCTACATTAGGATTCAGCTTTATAAACCTGGGGAACCTGTCCAGCTCACGCTCGCTCTCTTGCACACCTGTTCTAGACCCATATCATCCAGGAAAAGGTGCTGCAGGGACCTTGCCACTGGGAGGAAGGCTCCATCCCCAATATACTTGATGGGATTCTTGGACAACTTCAGCTCCCTAAGGGCAGACAAACCCTGGAGGGATCTTGTGGGCACATCCTCTAACAGGTTCTCATCCAGGTGCAGCTTCTCCAGCATCTTGGCGGGGCCCAAGGCTGTGGGGGACACCTGAGAGATGCTGTTCCCGGTGAGGTAGAGCCAGCGCAGCTGCTTTGCTCCAGCCAGGTCACTGTCTGACAGCTGGCTGATGGAGTTGTGCTGCAAGTGCAGGGAAATGAGGTTGGGCAAGCGGCTGAAGGTCCCCCTGGGCACCTGAGTGAACCTGTTGTGGTCCAGGTACAGGTAGGCGAGCTGGGGAGCCCCTTCAAAAGCAGCAGCCTCAATGGCTGAGATGTCATTGTTGGACAGGTAGAGGTAGACCAACTTCTTTAAGCCCTGAAGGGCACCAGGCTGCAGCTTCGCAATCTTGCAGCTTTGCAGGTGGAGCGAGACCAGGTTCTTCAAGCCAGGGAAGGAGGCCTTGGGTATGGCGTGGAACTCATTTCGGCGTAGGTCCAGGAGCTGGGTGTTGCCAGGGAACCCCTTAGGGATCTTCTGGAGGCCCTTGTTGTCACAGTTACTGTGCTGGAAATCAGGCGAGCAGGCACAGGCTTCTGGGCATTTCTTCTTGGCAACTTCCTCTGGCTCCCTTGTGGGAGGAGTAGAGGTGGGGAGCTGCTCTGCTTCTGGGGGATGGCCACCACATTTCATATTGACAGGTCTCAGTGACTCCAGGTGCTCTCCCCTGAAGGTGCGGGGGTCTGCACAGATAGCATCAGCCTGGACTCTCACTTTCTCCATCCACTCCTTGAAGGGGCGCATGTAGCAAGAGCAAACCACAGGGTTCCCTGTTAAGTTGATTTTCTTCAAATGGGCCATGTCGGTCAGAGGCTGCAGCACCTGCAGCTGGTTGTTGTGGAGGTCAAGTGTGTGCAAGTGGGGGCTCTTCACAAAGGCTTTGTATGAGACATCCTGTAGGGCCATGTTGTCCAAGAACAGCTCCCTCAGGGCACCCATTGCAATGGCCTCCTCGCTGACATAAGTGATGGGGTTGTGTCCCAGATCCAGCCGTGATGTACCTGACAGCCTTGACAAGGCCTCAGTGGGCAGGGACTGTAGCTCATTGTGGTCCAAGCTCAGCCTCCTCAGGGTAGGCAACCCCGCAAAGGCCTCATTGGCGATGACATGCAGTGCATTATGGGACAAGCGGAGCCACTTGATCGCCTGCAGGCCCTGGAAGACCATATCGGGCAGGTAGACGAGGAAGTTCTCACCAAGGTTGAGGAAATTGAGGAAGCCCAGTTGGCTGAAAGCCCCCGGCTGTATTTCTTCAAGGCGATTCTTTTCCAGAATAAGCTTCTGGAGAGAGGACAGGCCATCCAGGGACTCCTGGTAGATAAAGGCTATGTTGTTGGAAGCTAGGTTGAGGTAGGCCAGCCGCCCAAGTCCCCTGAAAGCGCCCTCCTCAATTCTCTCAACCTGGCATCGCTGCATGTTTAAGTGAGTGAGGTATGGGATCGGGAGGAATGTTCCCCCAGGGATGACTTTTATATTGTTGCCCCGGAGATCCAGCTTTTTGGTGATCTGTTGAGGAGACAAGCTGTAGTTACTGAAAAAGGAACCCACAACCTCTTGCTCTTTCTGTAACAACATGACTGGTTGCCCCAGTCCTCCCTGCCCCAATATTACTGTGATCTCCAGTCTCACTAGATCTCATGCCTAGTCAGTACCTGGAAGAAAGCCCTCTAATCTCCAGCCTCTTGAATGAAGCTGTGTTTGTGCTTCCACAGGGATCTTACAGATTGCATTGTTGTAGTCTCTAGCATAGTGTATGAGAGTAAGGTTGGCACTGATGCAAGATCGCTTCCTGCTGAGTTCCCAACACCACTTCCTGCAGCTGCCTGAGTTTTCCTGGGTTATTTCACAGTGTGACTCTGCTTCAGCTGTAAACCAAATGACAGCAAACTGCACAGAATATATATATATGTATATATATTGCCTTGATCAGATTAATTGTTCTGTTGCTTTGATCAAATAACTGAACTTGAATCAACCCACTCATCTTTTAAAGAGCCCTGTTGGTGGATCTAAAACCCCTTCAGACTTTCATGTTCAGGGCATTCCAAGGCCTTCACAAACATCTGGACAGTGTAAGCCCTGATGTTTACCATCTGTGCCCTCTTCCACTTTCCCTCTCCTTTGCACCAAAATGCCATGGAAGAAGAGGCTTGTACAGGCCACCTGGTCACTCCGGGGGCAGAGGAATATGCAGGACCAGTGGTGGCAGGATCAGTGGAGGATGTAGAATCAGTGGTGGCAAATGTGGAAGATGCGTGTAAGGGCACATTGTGTTGTGTCTGCCTCTCAGTCCCTTCCATTCTCCTGCTGTCTCAGCTAGTGACTGACCTGTGGGATGGTGACGGGCACCTCCGTGAGGTTCTTGTTCAGACACATGACATGGTGCTTGATGTTATCACAAAGGCAGATTTGCGGGCAGCGCTCGGTAGCCACTCTCCTGAGTGAGAAGAGGGTTGACACCAGGAGAAGGCCCAGGGAGCCCCTCATTCTGGAAAGCAGCTAAGTGTGAGAGAGAGGAAAGAGATGCCCCGGTTAGACAGCACTAGGCATTTTGACAGCACATCTCCGCTCCCTAGATCACAAATGCCCTGCAGGCAACGTCCATAGGCATCGCTGTGGAAGTTGTATGGATTGCGCAGTTTGGGAGAAGGAGGGACCAGGCATAGGGAAAGTGCCTGTGTGAAACTGCAAAGTGAAGCTGAAGTTATTACAGGATGTAACAATCCACATAGAGATTTGGGCACAGCCTTGAGGTTGATCTGTCTGCTCTGGCACAAAGCACTGCGAGTGCTTCAGTCACCAAAAGTGGTCAGGACCATGGACTCGCATCTTCTCTGAAAGACAGCACCTCCAGCAGCATGTTTATCTTTCACATCAAGCTCAGTTTAACCGAAGCCTCAGTCCAGCAGGGCACTTAGTTGTGGACATAGCTTTAAGCATGTGAGCAGTGTCTTAAGCCTATGCCTGTCCTTCCTTGGCTCATAGCCTGTATTGCCCAGACCAGAAAGCAGCCCAGGCCTTGTGAGGCAGTGAACATGCTCTGAGCACACTGGGGGTGGCGTGCCCTGTGCTGTAAACTTCAGCCACTGTTTGAGCATATTAGGGTGCCAGGAAACAATGCACCGGCAGCAGTACTAGGGTCCTTTTGAATGGACCCTGGTCACTGGAGAGTGGCAAAAGTCTGTATGGAAGGGTCTGGAGCTGTGCGGGAGGGAAATCTCACAAGGGGGTGAGAATATAAATGCCCATGTTCACATCTACACCAGGGCTCCCCACACTGCTCACGCAGAGAAGGTGAACCTCACATGGACAGGCAAGTTTCCATAGCCAGATCAGTGCCAGTTTTCCATCTGCTGTTCTGGTAATGAACTGTGCTGCTGACGTGCTGTATCCCAGTCCTCTGCAGATACCACCCTCCAGGATGACCTGCTGGTCTAGTCCAGGAGGGTCTCACCCATTTCTCCATCAAGGCACATACCTGCCCTACCACACTACTGCTGTTCCAGCCCTGGGCTCCTCCCAGCCCTGTGATACCTCAAGGCTGAGCAGCAGCATCCAGTGCTCTTCCTTCCTGATCCACCCCCCCCCCCC